AACATTTCTCACTCCTAGGTATTGAATTCCATGTTGATTTGTTTAAAATTGCTAAACTTAATTATGACAAGAAACTTGTCAAACTCAAATTTTTTTCAAGTGTTGGAGCCGTAGATCTGTCACTCCTATTGGGAAAATAAGCATAATTAAATCTTTATTGATCTCCCAGTTCAATCATCTTTTTATATCACTTCCCAACCTTTCATAAAAAACTTAATTTAATTCTTTTTAATTATCTTTGGGGTGGTAAAACAGATATGGTTAAAAGAGATGTTATTGTACAAAATTACATGGAAGGAGGCCTGAAGATGTTTCAGATTGATACATACATAGATGCTCTCAAACTTGGTTGGATCAGAAGAATTTTCATATCTTCTAGTAAGTGGCTAGTGATTTTGAAAGAAAATGTGAATATTCAGATTTTAGCTAATTGTGGGAGGGAGTATTTACTCATTGCAAAAACTAGATGTAAAAATATTTTTTGGGAAAATCTTTTTCAGGCTTGGTAGAAATTTAGAGTGAAAGAAGAACTCTTCAGAAATGATGATGAATCCATACTTAAAGTGCCTCTTTGGTTTAATAAAAACTTTGACATAAATAATAAACCAATTTTCTATGAAAAATGGTATAATGCAGGAGTGAGAGTAGTAAATGATTTATTAAAGGACTCTAGAGAATTTTTATTTTACGATTTTATTGAATTTTGTAATGTATATGGTTTAAGTAACTAATTATTTACAGTACTATGGAGTAATCCAAAGTATAAAGAAATACTTGAGGCCTGTTACCCCTCTAACTGGATCGTTAATGTATCCCTCTATCCCGTTGAGTCTTGAATTAATTTTAAAGAAAAAAAAAGGATCACAATACTTCTATCAACTACTTATTAAAAAGGAAATTAACATTACGGGGCAGCATAAATGGGGAAGTATTTTTGATTTAAGTAAAGAGAAGTGGAAAAAAATATACAATATTCCTTTTAGATCAACTCAAAACACCAGACTTCGTTGGTTACAATTCAGGATAAATCATTTTGTTTTAACAACCAACTTGTATGCATATAAAATTGGTATCTCAAACAACCCTAACTGTAATTTTTGTAATAGGGAAAGGGAGACAATTGTTCATATGTTATGGGAATGTAGTGAAGTCCAAAATTTTTATGCCAGTTTTGAAACACTTTTGGATGCTCTTACAATAGTGTTCCCTATTAATAAAGAATCAATCTTATTTGGCCTGGTAAATAATAATGGGGTCTACAATCGAGTAGATAATGAAGTACTTCTGATTATTAAATCTTATATCTATAAAACCAGAACTCAGCATAATACGTAATCGGTCTTTGCTTTAGTCAATGTTATAAAAGAAAACTATATAGTCCAAAAGTTTATTTCAACTGGTAAAGGTAATTCTTCCTTACAAATCTTTTCAAATGAATGGAGTAAATGGAAAAAAAACTAGTAGATATTGCCTAAGGCTTGGCTGTTTTCAGGCTGATGACTTCTGTATCTTTTATCATTTTTTTTTTTTTGTTATATACTCAATATTGAGCTAATTTGATAACAACTAAAGTTCTCAAAGAGTAAGTCTGTTACATTCCTTCCATTTCATGCTTGTTCCAACTCCTTCTTTGTCTTTCATCCCAATCTTTTCTTTGTCTATCCTGTTCTTAAGCCTGTCACTTCTAATTCATACTATTCTTCTAACTTTTTCTCCAAATTGCAACTCATTTGCTTTGCTGTTGATGTTTTGGATTAGTTTACTCTGTTGTAGAAACCCTTTGTTTAAATGCATATCTCAAAATAATAATAATAAAAAAAAAATACTAATAACTTGTCAATCAATCTCTTATTCCAATATATTCTTTTACTTTTTCCTAAAAAAAAACCCCAAATAAACCCAAAAAACCCCAATATAATGTGTGGTAGCACTTCCATACCTCCTCACAATAACAGCTCTCAGAATATTAGATCACTGAACCTACTAGTATTTAATTGATTATTTTAGAAGAGATCTGCTAATTTTTTTTTTTTTTTTTTAATTTTTATTTTATTTCCAAAGGGAAGTGCTAGCATTCTTTGGTTGATTGATTTCCTGTTTATTGATTTATAAGTGTGGCTGTATGTGTGAAATCTTGAAGGTGCGAGTGTGGTGTATGTAAACCATGCATACATGGCTTTACCTGTATGTGTTATTAGGTGTATGGTGTATGCCTGGGTGCATGTTTGTATTGCATGTACATGTAATATGTAATATGTATAGGCATGTGTGAGTAGACATGCACATATTCTTTGAGAGAAGCTCATCTGTATGTGTATAGCCATGTATACATGCATTCAGGGAAGTGAAAATGTGTATGTTATTCTGGGAGAGTGTTTTTCATATTTATACTTATGTATTTCATATACTACTGTTGTATTATGTATCTGTACATAATATTGAATAAAAAAAATTAAATTAAAAACAAAAAAAAGAAGTGTTCAGCGTCGTATACCGAGCGTCATGACAAGACACAGATTACATATATATAGATATATATATATATGTTATACATCATGTATATCAGATACACACATTTATTTACATTTGCATGGCATTATCACTAAATAGCCTCTTTTAGACCTGTGTCATTAAAGAGAGCATAAATGCCATCCAGCACGAGACATACTTCTTGGCCAATCAGCACACAACAGCAGGCTGTTCCAGCTATTGATCACAATTTGTGCGGATGACCGGTAAGGCGGGAATTTTGAATTAAAAACAAACAAAAAACTTTTTAAGATTTTAAATGCATGGAAAATGTAAATAAAAGCTAGCGCCTTATGATTTATTTGCTTGCAAAGCTCTGTCATTTGAATGGAGCATAATCATCATACAAAGACAGTTCAATGCTTAAGTACATATGGGTTAGAGACAAAATTCAATTCAACTGAGGTTTGTTAAAAAAATTTTGTATTTTTATTTTTTTTTATTGATTCAATTGAATAAATGATACAACACAGGAAGAGCTGAAGTTACCTTTGTTTTTACCAGTGTTTTAGCCTATATCAGAAGTTTACTATAAGCAGTGTACAGGTAAAACCATGGACAGCCTTGGGCTGTTTCACCAGGTGGTCACACGCTCTACTCATTACATTTATGTATTAGGAATTTTCTCTCATTACCTGTCTGTAGTTAGATAAGATTTAATGTATGGCCAGAAAAAAAGCTGTTTAAAAATTACCTTTCCAATCATTCGTTTGTTCGAGCTTTCGTTCCATTTCCGACCGTCCGTTCTTTCAGCCTGCTGACAAGAACATCAACCGTTCGGCTCATAGCAGTTGCAACCGAGCGTAGCGTTCAGCCGGATCAATCCCCATTGGCGACTGTAAGGCCAACATGCAGCCCGACAAAAAGTGGATACTTAGCCGTAATCCTAACTGTAACACTTTTAGACAAGTCAACCATCTGCCAGATCTATGTTGGGCTGTATGTAATGTTACTTTGTAGAATGCAGATTTCTTTTCAATTAAAGTCACATAGTATAGTATAGAAGTATCACCGTTTTCACTTTAAGGAAGTATTCTTACTCTGTAAACTTTTTTTTTCTGTAGTCACTTGGACAAATTACAGTGCAGTGTTAAAAATGGTGAAAGAGAACTGAATGTTAATGTAATGTACACAATGGAATTGCTTCAATTACATTTGAGTCTTGACCAGTCAACTTGCTTCACTTCTATAAACCAAACACAAACCCTAAACCAGCTAAATATTCATGTCCCAAGCATAATCGATTTGGAGAAGTTCTACTTCACATCAAATCTTTTATTCATTTGCATAATGATACATCATATCTGTTTCATTTATATGAATATATATCTATTTCATTTGTATAAATATTTATATTCATTTCATTTGTTTAGCAGTCGTAAAACTACATTGATATTCATTTGTATTATATACATAGTTATATTTACATTCACAAAAACAAAAACAAGAGCAAGTGGCCTGCATCGCTCATATGGCTTTGCTTGTCTTAAATTGATTATTAAAACTACAGGAAAAGTAATTCTAAATATCAAAGCAAACAACACAATACATATCTATTTCCCTCTACTTATTAACACATTTCCGTTAAATTCATGCCATACTGTGTCAACTGTCATCCCTCAACTTTTCCCCTAAATGTCACTATAGGAAGAGTGGAATATTAAAAAATTTGCTCTCCCCCCTTTGTCCATAAGGGACTGATACCCAATACTGAAACAAAGTTTATTTCCATTTTCCTAAGAATGCTTTGGATCAAATTTGGGCAAAATACAATCATTCCTACAGGAGGAGGAGGAATTTAAAGAATTTGCTCTATTTCTCCTTTCTGGTCTAACTCATCTTACCCAAATATGCCGAGACCCATTGTTTATCCAAAATTTGTTCCTCTTTCCCCAAGTATGCTTTAGACTTAATTTGGGCAAAATACAATAATTTCTAAAGGGGGAATAGGATTTTAAAGAATTTCTCTATTTCGCATATTGGGTTCCACCCTAGGGGGACGACACCCACCATTTATAAAAATTGTTTCCCCTTCACCAAAGAATGCTTAAGACCAAATTATAGGTGTAGTATTTTGAAGAACTTTCTCTATCTCCCAATATTTTGCCCTGTCTCTCCTGGTTCTGGTGACCAAAATATTTATACCCTTCATCCAAGAATGCCTCGGACCAAATTTAGACAAAATCCAATCATTTCTACAGGAGAAGGATTTTAAGAAATTTCACCTATTTGGAGCGGCCCCGCAGTTTATACAACGTTAAAATAAATACTTCAGTCCGAATTTTGGTAAGAATGCAATCATTCCTGAAGATTTGCTCTAATTTCCCAGGAGGCTGATACCCACTGTTTATGAAAAATTGATTCCCCTTAACCTAAAAATGCTTCAAACTATATACTTGGTATTCCATTCATTCCCACAGGAGGAATAGAATTTTAGACAACTTGCAAGATCCCTTCCCCTCCCACCCCAGATGGCCAAAATAAACTGTTTATACAAAATGTATTCTTCTTCACCCAAGGGTACTTTAGGCAATAACCATTCTACTGGAGGATAGGATTTTAAAGAAATTGCAAAATATCCCCTTTTGGGCCCCATCACTCATGTCCTACTGGGCAGACACCCATCATTTATACAAAATCTGTACCATTGGAACTTTACTAAAAATTTGACAGTCTTTTCATCTATCATTTAGCATGTATGACATGAAGGCTTTATAATTGTATAGGCCTACAATAATCACTTTACATAAAAATAAGAATATGTTTACTTCATATCCTTCATATTTTTCCAATAGTTCAGGAATCTGAAAGCTTCAAATTAAATTTTCATTGTTAACAGACATATGTCGGACAATGCACAACCCTGGAAAAACAGACACAGCAGTATGGCATGTGCTAAGCTTATCAGTCCTTAAGACCAGGTGAAATGACAACTATTGAAAGGCCAATGGTTAGACAATTGGCAAAAACTTGCATGGCCCTTCGTGCCTAAAGCAGGTGAGCTAATTAAGTCAACAAGAGTTCCTCGGAACTATATGTGTCACCTGCACAAAGTGTCACGGTCATCCATAAATCGAACTTGATGAGTTAAGTTCAACCATAATGTCATAATACCAATTTTTATTTCTATAACTCGATGCATAAGGGGAAAACTGCGCAAAGCAATATTCCTGAGAAATTTTCCAAGTTCAAAGGGACATATCACTGCCAAGAAGCGATCTAAGTTCGTAACTTTTGACAAAGAACTCATATACAGAACTCCAATTTGATAATTCAAAGCATAACCAAGAAAATTCCAGAAAACAATATTCCCAAAGAATTTGAGTTCAAAGGGCCATAACTCTGCCAAGAAGGGTCACAGACAGCCAGGAATCAAACTTAATCTGTAATCTTCCTTCAAGTAGCTACATACAACATCTCATTTTGATAACTCAAAGCATAACCCAAAAAAGGGGGCCAATGGGCCTGAATTGCTCATCTGATACATGACAATGAGGAGTCATTTGAAGGTTTTCATATATTTGACCCCTGTGACCTTGAATAAAAGTTGAATTCTTTTCACAAACTTTGTAGGGCTTCTTCCAAGGAACCTTCCTGCTAAATAGCATGATCCAAAACTTTTCGGCTACTCAGAAGAAGTTGTTAAAGGTTTTTAACTAATTATACCCCTATGACATCCAGTAAAGGTCAGGGTCATTTATTTTCGCAAACTTTGTTGGGCTTCATCCAAGGAACCTTCTTACTTAATATCATGCTCCCAAACCTTTTGATTAATCAGAAGAAGTTGTTTGATGGTTTTAACAAATTTGACCCCTTTGACCTTGAATAAAGGTCAAGTTCATTTCTTTTCGCAAACTTTGTAGAGCTTTAATCAAGGAACCTTCCTACCACATACCATTACTCTATGCCTTTCTGTTAGTTAAAAGAAGTCGTTTAAAGGTTTAAACAAATTTGACCTCTGTGACCTTGAGTATGAGTCAAGGTCATTTCTTTTTGCAAACTTTGTTGGGCTTCATCAAAGGAACCTTCCTACCAAAGATCATTACTCTATGCTTTTCGGTTAATCAAAAGAAATCGTTTAAAGGTTTTAACAAATTTGATCCCTGTGACCTTGAATAAAGCTGAAGGTCATTTCTTTTTCCAAGCTATATAGAATTTTTTTCAAGGAACCTTCTTACCAAATATCATTACTCTATGCTTTTCCGTTTGTCAAAAGAAGTCGTTTCAATGTTTTCAACTAATTTGGTTCCTGTGACCTTGAATAAAGGTCAAGGTCATTTCCTTTCGCAAACTTTCTTGGGCTTCATCAAAGGAACCTTTCAGCCAAATATAATGATTCTAGGCCTTCCAGTATTTCAGAAGAAGTCGTTTAAAGGTTTTAACAAATTTGACCTCTGTGTCCTTGAATAAAGGTCAAAGTCATTTCTTTTCCAAAACTTGGTAGAGCTTCCTGCCAAATATCATTACCCTATGCTTTTAAGTTAGTCTGAAGAAGTTGTTTAAAAGAAAAGTTGACACCTGACAGACGACGGATGCCACGCCAGGGCATAAGCTCACTTGCCTTTCGGGCAGGTGAGTTAAAAAGGTCGAAAAATAATATTTCCAGAGAATTTTCTAAGTTCAAGGGGGCATAACTCTGTCAAGAAAGGTCAAAGACAGCCGGGAATCGAACTTAATCTGTACCCTCCCAACAAAAAGCCATATAACAATTTTCATTTGATGACTCAATGCATAATCGAAAAAAGTCTAAGACTTTGTACTTAAGTTTACACTACCGGGGGATCATCTTTGGTTGGTTCTTTTGGCACTCTTGGTTGTTCTACGATTGTTTTCCACAATGCTTCATTAGTTGTTGATGAAATAAAATTTTCCTTTGCTCTTGCCTTTTTGTAATAGTAAAGATCTTGCTGTAAATCTGCATGTAATCCAGACTTGTCAAGATCTACTATAGCAGCAAAATTTTTCCGGGTTAAAAAAGTAAAATTCAAGAAAATCCAAATGACAATTATGGTAAAAACATTTAGCTGGTTCTTTTTTGTCCCTGGAGACCATAACTCAAGCTGTTCCTTTATGTACAGCAAGATGTCATTTTCTGGGTCATAAAGACAAATAGAAACATGATCAGATGTGGTTCCAATAGTTGGAATTAAGAAATGTGACAGTGCACTCCTATTACTGTTAACTTGAGCAAATCCATTTGTTATAGCTTCAGCTATGACTTGTTCTAAAACCTTTTGATCCAGAAGAACATTTTCATGTCTTCTGCTGGTTTTCACTTCAACACAAATGTTACATTTTTTACCAGTTTCTATCTTTCTTTGTTTTCTTTCAGGTTCACCACTTGCACCATCATCTTCCTCTTCACATTTGTCTGTCTGTTCCTTCCCAAGTGCCACTGCAACAGTATTGTTCAGGAGGATGTCTACTCTGCCATGCCACGTCCTTTCTGACCCTGAGTTAAAAATATAAACATAGGCTATAAAATGCCAGCAGTGTTGTGTAATTTCAAGTGTGGTGATTGTCATTCATTTGTGATTTTTACGGTCTGAAGGGTTCTGCTCCAGATATATAAGATCCCAAAGGGCATGTGTGATTTAGTTTGCTCAGGCTGGGGACTTCAACAGAAATTAAGTCCAGAGGGGAGAAGCCACACAAAGAAAGTTCTTACACCATGAATATGTTTTTATTTCTTTATGCCCATCACTGGTATATACCCTGGGTATGGGGTGTTTCAAAGTAATAATGCATTTCCCCTATAGAACTAGGGGGCCAAGACCCATCATTTAAACAAACTGATTCCCATTCATACAAACATGCTTCAATTCAAATTTGAGCAAAATTCAATAATTCCAACAAGAAGAGTAGGATTTTAAAGAACTTGCTCTAATTCGTCTATTGAAGACCCTGCCCCTTCTGACCAAGTGGTCCAAGACCCAACGTTTATCAAAAACAGATTTTCCTTTACCCAAACATCATTCACGCCAAATTTGGACAAAAAGCTATGATCCTACAGGAGGAGTAGGATTTCAAATAATTTGCTCTATTTCTCCTATTTGGCCTAACCTCTCCCACCATCAGGAACTGAGGCTCACCATTCATAAAACTGATTCTGCTACACCCAGCAGTGCTTCACACCAATTTAGCATAAAAGCCAATAATTTCTAATAGAAAAGTGGGATTTTTAAGAATTTGCTCCATTTCTTCTAATGGGCCCCCAATCTTCAGTCCTAGTTATACAAAAATGATTATCCTAAAATCCTTCAGAAAACAAGAGGCCCAGAGGGCCTGTATCGCTCACCTGGATCTTTATGACCAACAGTAATACATCTTTGCATATGTTCCTTCAGGCCAGGTGAGCTAAAAATGTATTTAAATGATCCCAATACAAAGGAGATCACTTAAAAGCATGCAAAAAAAAAAAAAAACTTGCAGTCAAATATTGTGTAAATTATCCAATATATGCACCTTTGGAGGCATTTAAATCCATAGCTATTAAATTTTACTTCCGCTCATACCAAAAATATACCAAAGTTCGAAAAAAAAAAACCACCCTCTAGCTCCTGTTTTTTCTCCAAAATTTCCTGAAGAACTACTTTTCAAATTGGTGTGGCCTAATGTCTAAATTATGCAAAGGAGACCTAGAAAGTTTCCTGTTAATACCTCTTATAATGTTAGCGTAATGCTCTGAAAAAAAGATGATAGATGACAAAGGGCAATAACTCCTAAATTAAGCAATAGAGAGTGATGGTTCACTGCACTTCTCCTTGTCAACATCTATCTATGAAGTTTCATGTTGATATCTCTCATAGTTTTTGTGTTATCACAATATTTTGATGGACAGACAAAACAATGACTATATACTCTCCAGTCGAGGTCATAATCAGATAATTAAACTGGTCATTAATCAACAGAGACCAAATGCTGTGTGTATGATGAACTGATATATGCCGTAACAGCTTTCTGCTATGCAGAGGTGACATTCTACGCTGTGTATGTATGACCAATTTCTTCAAAAGATGTGCCAATGTTTTGACAAAAAATTAATTTCAAGACAATGAATGACTTTTCCCTTACTTTACAATAGAAATGACTGAAAAATCACTCAAACGAAATTTCAACTCTATGAAATTCATGTCATCCAAACTGAAACTATAAAATATAGAAGGAAAACAAGAGGCCTAGAGGGCCTGTATCGCTCACCTGGATCTCATTGTCAGAAATAGTAGATGCAATATGAACAAGAACTGTGCTAATATCTTGATAATATCTTGATAACCGGTAAATGGCAAACAGGGCTGGAGATATCAATTGTCATGTTAAAACTGAGAAATGTATGCAAGACAGGAATGCTTGCTGTCATCACCATGTGAAAATAATTTGTTTTCACCATTCTGTAATGATGGTTTTTATTTTCAATTAATTATCTTCTAATTCAGCGATTTTGAGACAAGTTTAAATTGTATGTCAGCTGTGTGTTGACACCCTAGAATGAAGCCTACATAATGATTTATGACAGCAGGTTCAATATTTCAAAGCAAAAACAAACAAACTTAAAGAAGATCCCTTTGCTTGTGGGAAAAATAAAAGCAGATTACAAATTTTTTGGTTAAAAAACAAATCAGTTTGGCACATCAGAAAGTTAAAATTTGGGGTTTAGATATCTGAAAAAACATGTCAACTTTTAATGTCACGTTCCACTTATCACATATTCCTTTGACAAATGGAAAATGATATTAAGCAGCTCCCAGTGGACCACTAAATCAGTAATTGATAATAAGGTAATTGCAAAGAGATCCAATCTTGAGCTTTTTGCTATTGTGATTAATCAACTTTACCATGAATAAAGTGGCCTTCTGTTTTCTATATTCTTGTCATTTTTATGACAAACACATATTGCTTTGATAGTAACTTGGTATCATATTTCACAGAAAGGTATTGAAACAACGGCAAATATATGGTGCTGCCTTCCCATCTAAAAAATCATGTTTCTAGAAGTTAACCTTCAACAAGAAAGTAAATGGATTACAACTTTCATCTTTAAAGTGGATCAAGAATTGGGCAGATAGACAGATCATAGAGAAGAGGGGATTTGATCATCCAACCATCTAATAATAATGTCGCAAATCTAAGGATAATAGCTAGCTTACTATTAAGCATTCAGCTTAACCACATCACCAGATAAATTCATATATATACAGATACATAGACTTACGGACAACACAATATATGCTTTGGTAAAACCCCACATTTATCTTACCTAATGAGGTGTTTCCTGCACAAATCTTGGCCTTACAGCCACAGCCACATTTTGTTGGAAGTTGCTTTGCATATCTATCAACCTCGTACTCCTTGCCTGGCACCAATTGAGAAAACAGGTGTTGGGCCAATGCAACCATAATCTGAGTTTCTTTATTTCCACTTGTTGGCAGAGTGGATGTGATTAGTCTCCTAAGTGACCTTTCATGTTGTTCACGTCCTGGAAAAAAAAATGGTCATTAAACTCATGAAGTACTGAAAGTAACATATATGCATGAATGTGGCATGTAAGTTGTGATTGGGAACACCACCTCAATTCAAAATGGACCTGAAACGCTTACCTATTCTGACCCTTCCATTTGATTGATTTTTTATTTGATTTAAACATACTTTATTTGTCGTATAACAAAAAGGATCAGGCATAAGTTATCACAACTTAAAAGTGCCTTCTCCAAAAGATTTCATTGTACAAATTACATCACAACAATAACAATTTTTAATCAAATATATAGATATCCAAATAAAGAAAGAAAAGAAGGAAGAAAGAAGAATGGAGTAGGAAATAGATTTGTAAAGAAATTATCTATAAATATGCTACTAACCTTAAAATATTTTACTATTTTTATGTATGTTTGAACTTAAAGAAAAACACTTTCATTATCTTTATCAGACAGGTTTGAGGAACCAGAAAGAATAACAACAATACAAGCATTAAAGTAACGTGAGATACCATCTACTATAACTTGTTTTTGTGGTGTATATAGTACAGTATTACATTTTCACACCCATTGCCACATACGCATGTTGGATCCCTCACAATATTTACTCTATACAAATCATACTTTAAACTAATACATGTTTCGTGAAAGATTTCCAACATCAAAAATCATAGGTAACAGGTCATTTTGGTGAATCAATAACTTAAAATTGTTTACGGATGGCTGTTCTCTTGACACCCTTCTGTTCATATGGAGTATTTGATTCTACAATATCTGGGTTGTGAGAAGAGGATGAAATAATGTAAGTCAATTCAATCCTCTTCATCCCCGCCCATCAGCTCCTGGGAGTTAGCCTGGGTACTGGTGCACACCATATGCGTCTTAAGAATTCTAACCAAGTTTGAATTATTTTCAATCTGGAAATTGAAAATAATTAAGCTCAAAGATATCATATCCTCCATGTGTATGAACTAGAGAAGACTTAAACCCCATTTTAAGGCAAACATGGAGCCCAGAAATCAAAGTTGTTAATTTGGATAAGTACCAAAGATTTTTACATCTATGAAGATTTTCCCATAAAATTTGTTACTACTGTATCTTGGTCAGGAGAAGACTGTTGAAATTTAAGTCCATTTGGCGCTTTTATGGTTCCACACCGAAGTCGCTGGGGGCAGGCCACAGGATCAAAGTGGCTCTAGTAAACTTTCTTACCAACAAGCATCTTTTTTAGTTTAATTGGCAAAGTAAGCTTACACTATAAAGCAGTATCCATCTACCATCCTCAGTCAACTTTTTCCCTTACAAGAGGCCCATTGGCCTAAATAGTCACACCTTTAGACACTTTCATCCAAAAACAGTATTTGGGTCTACTTTATCTGGCAATTAAAAAGAAGAGGGCTTTTTTTTCAAATTTCAGCCAATCTCACCCTTTTCAACCCAACCAATCAGCCCCTTGTGGTCAGCTAGGAATATGTGTATATTGTCAAACTGTGATCTTGTAATAATAATTCAAATCAAGTTTGAAGTATTTCCAGTTGGAAATACACAAATTTTTCCCAACAAGAGAACAAGCAGCTTTGATGATCACCAGAGATGAGCTATATTGAAGAAAAAAGTTAAAGGTTTAGTATTTTTCAAGTGTCATGAAAAAGAAATTGTGACATTAATCAGAGTCAGCCGGTGTCCATGCATGTCATCAAAACTGTCATCCAAAAGTAATAATTCTTACAAAGTTAATTCCAATGGGAAATAAACAGTATACTCAAAAATGCAATTTTTCAATAAAAATTATTGTAAAGTTAACCTCTTTCCTGAAAACAAATCTGAGACTCATTTTAGCATAGCACCTTAAGATGAGGAGCATTTGATTCTACCACACCTAGATATTAAGAAGATGATTTTTGAAATCTGAGTAAATTTGACCCCATCAGGCCCTGAGGTCAGCCAGGATTAGTACAGGCATACCATCAAGCCATCATCCTTTGCTCATATTCCTAAAAAAGTTTGAAATATTTCCGCTAGAAATTAAAAAATTTATGCTCAAAAATCTATTTTTCCTATATAAACTATAGTAAACTTTACCCCCTCCCAAACGGAAATGTGAGATCCTGGGGCCATGAAATTCACAATTTGGTAAAGCTCTGTTAAGAGCATTTGAATCTACCATATCTGGGTGTTGAGAAGAAGATTTGCATCAATTTCATTAGGCCCCATCCCTCAGACCCTGGTAGGGTGGGAACAGGGTAATTCATTATTTTTGTTCATCATAGGCCATATACGGTTTCTGCAAAATTTCTTTGAAACCTGTTCAGGTGTTTTTGGGAGAAGTAGAAAATGTTAAAATAGGCACGACGCCGGACAAAGGTGATGGTAATAGGTAACTAGGAGACTCTGTATCAGGAGACCTAAAAAGACAATATTTTTCCATATCATCATGACAAAGCAGATCTAAATTATAATTCAAGCAAATCCAGATATTGTTGAAATTGAAACAGGATCATTCGTGCTTAGTACTACCACATCACATAAATAAATATTTTTGTTACATGAAGCTTAGATAGTATACTTAACAACATTATTTTCTAAAATATACAAATGTCAGTAATTTTTGTCTTCTTTATACCTGAAATATTGCAAATTTATAAATAAAAACTTTTACTGCCTTAAGTGTTTCCAACTGAAAATGAGATGGGAGAATAAATTACACATATCTAGAAAGTAGAAGTTTGTGGTGACTCGCTAAACTTTTAGTATACATGTACAATGTATAGGAATTAATTTCTTCGTGTTAATTATCAACTTATTGCACAGTAACTAGACAAACAGTATCATTTATACATGTAGTTTGATAAGCAACACAGATTTGATTAATTCTACTGAGAAATCAGCATTTAGCGTTAATTGAAAAATTCCAAAAGTGGGGCTAGTAGTTTTGATCAGGGCCAGTCAGAAAAAGTGGCTCATGATCACTAGCCCTTAACCTAAAGGAAAAATTTCAGAACTGAACACCCCTGAAGGGGAACTGACATATCAAATTCTCGAGAGATCCATCCAGTACTAATACTTAAATCGTCTCAACATTGGTTCCCGACCATCATGTACTTCGGAACAACCATTTTGTTGAACCATATCACAAGAGCTTTTGACCTGTGTGACTTTGCACCTGATAATTTCTGTTACTTTAGCATTATTGTCACACTTCCAGTAAAGAATTTTAAAAAATGTGATTTAAACAATTCACCATAAAATATCATGAGTATAGGTCATCGTAATGTTTCTTATACACAATTTTACATGTCAAATATCCTCAGATGTAATGAAATAACCTATCAAACCATCCTCTGATGTCAATGTTTTGTTGTTGTCCGTCATGTGAATAAAAATCGACCATGAATGAAAGGCCAGGCTTTTTTTTTTTGTCTATGGAAGTTCAAAAACATGTATACCTTGTATTGAAAAATGATGATCACTTCTGATTTCATTTAATTAGCAAGTTGTAGACCGAGATAATTTGTGTTGAAAAAAAAGAAGTTTACAAAGAAATTTGGCTTATTTGAGAAAAAAAAAAGGACTAAACAATAAGAACTTGAATCTACCTTCATAAAAGTAATCACAGTTATCCACTATTTTTGCATCATATAATTTTAATTGTCATGAAAATGGCGTTCCCGTTCAAATGATGATTTGGTGTAAAATGTGTACTTCTGGACCACTTTAAGCTAACTCAAGCATCTCTGTGATTTAGTGATGTTGTCACAGGCAAACGTCCAATACACATGTCAATCAATTCAGGTGAGTGGATTGGATGTTGTATCTGTGATATTTTTTTTCAGAAAAATACATGTCTTTTTAAATATATCATTATAAGTCATTTATATACTTGTTTGACGGTAGTTCATTGGCATAGCATATGGTGGTCAGGTGGCGCAGTGGTAACGCACTCGCCTTTCACCTAGCCGTCCAGGGTTCGATTCCCGGAACGGATGTGAAAAGGTAATGGGTCACCTGGCCGACCACATGGGTTTTCTCTGGATACTCCAGTTTCCTCCCACCATAAGATACCTCGCCCGCTTACATCCGGGACAACCAGAGTGGTTAGGATAAGTCGAAACAACTTTTTTCACAACTGTTGTAAAATAAATAAAGTTCATATTTTATATAGCATAGGGTCCGGAACCAATGAGCAAAGGATATATGTATGTAATTCTGACGCATGTATAAGAAAAGGAAGTGCATCAAACATATTGATATTTTACTTTTAGATCATTTTCAGAAATATGAACTTACAAAAAAGCATTACCAGAACAAAAGCCTTTTTTGCACTACGTTCATATATCATTCGTGAAGTCAAAAAATAGCATTAACGTTACCACGAAGAAATCCCAACAATGATAAGAATGGTTGACGACAAACATCTGAATGCATCTCGATGGCGTCTACTCCCCTTTTTTGAAAATCTTCAAGGACAGAATTATTTAAAATGTCCTTCATGTAAACGAGTCCACACTCTGGAAATTTACTTATATAACCTGCAGCCTCACCACTTTCATGATTTAGTTGAAGATACACTGAAGCATCGCTAAACGACTTCCCTGCAATAGCATTACTGTTTTTTATAATTAAATTGAGGAACTTAGGCACAGGAGAAACTGTTTTTGTGCAAATGATACCCAGTACACTTTTAATGCTCATCTCCTCTACAGATCCCTTGAAATCCTTAACGGAAAACTGGTCTGACGCCATTTTTTGGCGCAGAACATTGCTAATCTTGAGCCCAGCTGAAAACAGGAAGTCAAATGTGGACTTCAGACGTAGTTGCGTATTTTTATATCATTTGATCTTATTACATTTTAGCTAGGGTTACACAGATATAAAGAATCACTTCGACTTATTATTTCCATCCTATTGATTTGCGTATTATGTCCGATAGAAAGTGAAAATCACCACGTGTACATAGATCAGCAGTTGTCGAATGAAAACATACGTAAATCAGTAGACTTGCACATGTCCGTCACACCAGAGGTCACACAGGCCTTTGACTACAGACATCTTGGTGCATTTTGTCCGAAGCCTAGTGTAACTTTTTTTAAAATCTAATTTGGAGGACGAATCATCAAACAGACTTGAATTAAGACCCAACAATCAGCTTAACAGTTAATAAATTCAAAAATGTGGATTAGTCAATTCGAATAAAACTGCAACTTCGGGGCTGCAGTTTTGATAAACCTCAGCAACCTATTACCATGTACATGTGATGCATTGCTAGTCAATAGTCATTCATCCAAATACAAACCGATCCCACGCTGTTTTGATGCGACAAATACCATTCTGGGGTCATCTATTAATCTTAGTTGAATAATGTTTCAAAATTGCCATACATAATATAATATTATACATGTAAACATGCAATCTCATAGAGTAGCATGCTACTCGCCCACTTAGACTATCAGGGTACATAAACAACAAGATAAAATGACCTATGTGACCTTGATTGGCTCAAGGTAAATAGGCTTAAATTATCTAAATACTCTAGAGCTTACAAAGTAGATATTGCAGGTACGTGTCATATCATATATCCGGATAATTCTTCTGGCCATCATAAAAGTACTACCCCACCCCCTCCGCCTATATTATTTGTATTCCGCCTCAGCATTTTTTTTTCATTAACATTGTACAACATTAATTTGAGGAAGACGATCACAAAAAAAAAATATAGGAATTTGTGCACGTGTCATGGTAACCTAAGTAGATAATTAGTTAATGACACTTGGCCATGATCAAACACTACATTTGTAGTAAGGGCCTCAATATAAGAGGATGCTGCCTCAACTCGCGTTTTGCTCAAAGTCAAATATTGTCAACAGGCAATTAATTTAAAGCTTTCTGCGTTAAAGGGTATGGATGACAGAAAAGGAAGAATACTGGGAGAGGTAGGAAATATAAACCAGATGGTACTGTGCGGAGTATAGAAATATAGAAAAACCTTTGGGGGGATTGGAAGGGGGGATGGTGAAGTAGTATTGTGTTGGGTTTTGATAACCTGGAATGGAGCCCTACTTTACACAGGCATATAGTTCACAGACATTGTACACTGACATCAGAGACGTATATATCACGTTATATATGTGTTATACGTCTCTGCTGACATACTAAACAAAGACATACCGAACAAAGACATACTGTTAACAGACATATTATGTACAAAGTGTTACTTACTTGTGTCACACCATCAACTCGAATTCGTTGTGTGTTGAACGTTTTTATTAATACCCCTGGTTTAGGATTACAACCACCTCACTACACCGACCGTCGGGTCGTGTCAGTAACTTAACCGTAGCTATATGTGGCGCCTGGACTCCCGAGGACGTCCAGAGCGACGTGGCTAATCTGTGATTCTGCCCAGCACCCAGGGGTATCCCTAGTTTTATTACCTTACACACTCACTCTTGCACGACTTCCTCACCTGTCACACCTGGACATGTACATGTCTCAAGACAACACCATATAAGGACAGACACTGACACTACCTAACAAGTAACACACCAAATAAGGACATACACGTAAATGCACGGACAGTAACGAATACAGATTAAACAGGACGTTACAGACATTTACTCCAATTTACCCTGTAACATACTCCCCCTGTAGGGAAATGTTGTCCCGACATTTTACTGACTTGCCTGGAACCCTTACCTACAAAGTGAAAATAACTGTGATTGATTACTTTCCCTGAAATAAGATCATTGAAGTAAACAATTATTCTCAACCACAGGTTAGTACTTACAAGCAAATACTATTGTTCAAAGTGCAAAAATACAATATGAAAATACCTGGAACATTAAACAAAACATTGGAAAATTAGTAACATTCCAGAAATGTATAAATGTAACTTTTAAAAGTGTAACATTATTCCTGAAATAAATGCATCTGAAATAAAATATCAACTTGTGCATATACAGTCTCTACAATAATACCCACTCATTTTCTACTATCTGGCCCACCACATAATCATTGTATCGGACCGGTTTACGTCTTTCTCTTGTCGACCTACGTACCTGAGGACTTTCTATTGGTTCTGGACTTATGACACCCTCTGGAACAGGGGAGACGACTTCACTGGGATTTGATTGTGGGGTCCCCACACTGTTACCAGATTTCGAACCAGGGGAGACAACTCTACCATGTACCAACTATGGCTCAACACTCCAGAACCCGACGCACTCCCAACTTCCATAGATTCTGACAAACGTTTAAACTTACCTGTTGATTCCCTCCTAGTAACAGGTATGAACTCTTGAGCTCGAGGATTCAGTGCCCTACTCCGAGTCACCGGTCTTACATACTCAGTATCATAATCCGAATCTGAACTAGTCTCTGAGCCACTCCCTCCTGACTCGGATGTAGGTTCATGATGACTTGTAATGTATCGGTTTGTGACCTTTACCTTGGCCTTTGGCCTTATGACCTCTGACCCACTGTCCAACTTTTCTATACCAACACAAAGTAACAGCATATTTCTGTGTAATGTTCTTACTTTGCGGGGACCATGTTCAGGTTTAACTCTATACACTGGTGTATCAGAGTGAGGTTTAGACAAAACCCTGTAAGGAATTTGTTCCCATTTGTCGGCTAATTTGGACTTTCCCCTAAGATTTACATTCCTGACCAAAACTCTATCCCCTGGCTGAAGAATGGAATTCCTTACCTTGGTATCATAATGGGTTTTATATCTATCAGAGGCCTTCCTAGCATGTTTGACAGCAGTTCTCCAAGCAAACTGTAGCCTTGACTGTAACTTCCATACAAACTCAGTCTTAGGTTGAAACTGTGTACTGTCCCCCTCGTGCAATCCGAAATACGCATCAGCGGCCAACCTAGGATGCCTACCAAACATAAGGTAAAATGGCGAACATACAGTACTCGCATGGATGCCGCATTATACGCATGTACTGAAGGTGCGACATAGGTTTTCCAATCGCGCTTCTGCTCTTCCCCTAAGGTACCAAGCATCTTTAGTAAAGTCTGATTAAAACGTTCGGTCATACCTTTACCTTCTGGATGGAAAGGCGTGGTCCTAGATTTTCGCATGCCTGTGAGTCTACAAAGTTCTTTGATAATCTTAGACTCAAAATTCCGTCCCTGGTCACTATGTAACCTGGCTGGAAAATCATAGTGCACAATATAATTGTCAAACAGTGCCTTGGCCACTGTGGGAGCTTTCTGATTCCTTGTTGGAATGGCCTGGGCGTACCTTGTGAATCACTAATATATTTTCAAATCCCCCCTTGCTTCCTTCCAGTGCTAAAAAGTCCATACACACAAGTTCCATGGGCTCTGAAGTTTGTATACCTACCAGCTCTGCTCTCTTGGTAACTTGTGTCTTCCTTCGTATACAGCGACCACAGGTAGCTAATCTATCGGACACATCTCCATTCATACCAGGCCAATAAGACCTAAATTTTATGATATATCCCTCCCCTGATGATCATGGTAACCCTCAAAAACTTTGTCCTTCCACTTACTTGGTAACACCACTTGCTTCACTGACTTGTCAGTGGTACTGACATGATACAAAACTCCATCATCCAACACTAATCTATGCCACTCTCTTAACATTTTCCTGACTGCTACGCACTATCCCTCCAACCGCCTTCCCGCCAATCTAAGGCCAGCAACCTTCAGCTGTAATACTCGCCTAATGGTAGGATCTTCTCTCTGTTCTCTAACCCAATCAACCTGGCTCAGACTGTTGTAACCCAACACCTCGTCAAACTCTGTACCCGGTAACTGTATAGAATTGGTCACCACCAGACTCTCTGCTAAAGGCAACTCATCTCTATCAGTGACCGCAGCCTGACATACCGCCCTAACTGTATCAGGGAACAAACACTCTGTCTGTCCTGGCCTCCGCGACCATCCATCAGCATCCTTGTTGGACTTACCAGAACGATATATGATCTTAAAACTATAGTTTGCCAACTCCGCAACCCAGCGATGTCCGGTTGCATCCAACTTTGCAGTAGAAGTAACATACGTCAACAGGTTATTATCAGTAAAAAACCTCAAACTGTCTGCCATACAAACAATCCTTGAATTTTTCAGTGATTGCCCACTTAAGACATAAAAATTCTAGTTTGTGTGCAGGGTACAATCTTTCACTGGCCTTAAGACCCCGACTGGCATAGGCTATTACCCTATCCTTACCCTCTTGCTTCTGATATAACACAGCTCCAAGCCCATCCTGAGAAGCATCTATTTTCAATCTAAATGGCTTTTCATAGTCAGCATACGCTAGGTTAGTTTGGATATCAGGGTTTCAAATGTCCTCTGGCAATCGCTATTCCAGACAATTGGAACTTTTCCCTTAGGATTATTCCCCTGGACCTTGACTGTAGGGTGCCCTATCAACAACTCATTAAGGGGACTGGCTATTTTAGCATAATCTCTTACAAACGCCCTATAATAGCCTGTGAATCCCAGAAAAGTTCTGACCTCTTTGACCGACTGACAGGGTTTCCATGACTTCAGAGCCTCAATTTTCTCATCATCAGCACTAATGCCCTGTTCACTGACAATATGCCCTAGATATTGCAAACTAGTCATAAAGAACTCACATTTGCTAGGATTTAATTTCAACCCATGGGTCTCTAGTCTCTCAAATACACCGGCTAATCTTTCCAACTGTTCCTCAAATGTCTTGGAAAATATTAAGATGTCATCCAAGAAAATCAAACATTCCAGAAGGTTCTTA